ACCGGAGTCGCATTTGGGGTGGGCCTGGTAACCATGCTGGGCTGTTTCCTGATCCTCACAGGGACTGACAGGTATCAAGGCTTTTCCCTACATGATTCCACCCCAGGATGGCCAGATCAGGAGGACGGACACCCCCCATTATCTTGTTCTGGTCCTGCCTCCCCCAACTCTGGCTTCCCTGATCATCCCACCAGCTCCTCCCTCACCTGCTGCTGACTTGAGCTGCTTCCTCAACAGCTTTGATCTAGTCCTCAAAGCTATAGTGTTGCCTGAAAGTTGGTGTTCAGAACTCATCATCTCACATTGTTTACTGTAATACACCACACAGTGAAGGGGTTGCATCCCAGGGTCTGATCATGGTCCTGGCTGAGGTCACAAGGCAGAGTAGAGAAGCCTGGACAGGATGGTAGAGTCAGCAACCTCCATGACGGAAACTATCCATGGGCCTTGAGATAGTCATGCCAGGTACTAGGCAGGATATTAGATCCTGGATTTCCATTTATGTCTCTTGCCAAGGCAGGGGGACAGAAGCAACAAGGTCACTGTCACATCCTGCCTGAGCAGAGGGTCTCACCACAGCAGAGCCAAGTTCAGAGAGAATAGAGATAGACAGAGTTTCCCCAGGTCTGCCCCATGTGGCTTTGCCTTTCAGGATCTGGGCCTTCCACTCAGTCAGACCCTTAGGGACCTTTTCCTGGGTCCTCAGTCCCTTTCCTGGGTCTTAAGTCAATGCTCTTCTGGGTCTGCACCTGCTGAGGGACTATCTTCTCTGGTTCAGCACAGAAATGCCTTCTTAAGACCTTGCTTACCTCTCTTCTTTTGGGCTTTCTTTTATCATGGAACTGATAGAGAAAGAGCTCCATGACTCTCTTTGAATACAGGGTCCCTTCTTTAGGCCCTGTCTTCCCTCCCTAAAATCTGTGAACTTTCTTACACTTCATGGAGAAATGGAAAAAGTAAACACAGGGAAGTGATGTCTGGCCTCTCATAGACCAGAACCTTCCAGGCTCAGACTAGTACCTGCTCAATGAGGTCTGAGCCTTGATGACCCTCCCTCCCTGTCCCCTGACATCTGCTGTGTCTCTCCAACACAGGCCCCCATCCCCAGAGTAGCCATTCCTATCTATGAGGTAAGTGAGGATGATAAAGGTTCTAGACCCACAGGGAGACTCAAGACCTTTCCCACATCACACTTGGATAAGCCTTGAGATTCAAGAAACATCATGGAAAAGACAATTGTGTGGGAGTTTTGTGATCATAGGATGGAGGAGCCTGGAAACAGGACCCCTGAATATAACCAGGACACAGCAGAAAGCATTCCCAGGTGCCCTAAAACCTGGGAAGTAAGGAATGCTGTTCTGGGGAAAGAATGGGGCTCAAAGGCCTCTTCATTTTTCACAGGAATTACTAAAACTTGATGAACATTTATGGCTGATCAACCACACAGCAGATATGGCTTCTTCGTGTCCTCAAGAAATAGCTGTGTATGGGACAAAGGAAAGTACCCTTAGTACCCAGATACTGGGGCATGGGACAGAGATGAAGCTTGAATGTACTGAGTGTCTCTGTTTCTGAGACTCAGTCACTTTCTCTGCCTATAACATAATCATGTTTTCATCAACATAATTATAACTTTTTATCAACTCAAGATCCACAGTATCTGACCTTGAAACCACACCCATCACTCAACTTGGAGCATCCTCTCAACACAGCATTCTGCTCCCTGAATCCCAGCTGAACCCCTCAGGAACTTGAGCCAAATTCATGATTGGGTAAATAAAAGGTAGTACATTACTACAATCATTATTTAGCATTAAAAGGAAATAAACAAGTTTGGTGGCCCAGGCCTGTAATCTCAGAACTGACTGAGGAGGCTGAGGTGGGAGGACTGCTGTGAATTTGAGGCTAGCCTGAGATACATAACAAGTACAAAACTGGGATGCAAGCAAGCACCAAATCAAGTCTATATATCAAGTCCTTGCCTCATAAAAAAAGAAACAAAGATGAAAGAAAGAGAGAGCAGGAAGGAGGGAAGGAGAGATGAAGAAATGGCTCAGTGGGTAAGAGCACTGCTGAGCAAGCGTAAGGACCCAAGTTCAAATCTTCAGCACCCACCTAAAACCCTGGCAGGGTCTTGTGTGCCTACAACCCTAGCATTGGGCAATGGAGACAGGCAGATAGCTGGAGCTTGCTGACCAGCTAGCCTAGCCACAACCACCTCAGTGGAGTGAAAGACTCTGCTCCAGGGACTAAGGCGGAGAATGATAGGATACCCGACATCCTTCTGTGGCCTCCACATGCTCACACATGGGCATACAAACCCATATACACACAAACAAATAATACACACACACACATACACACACACACACTGTACACATGCTCACACGCAAAGAAGGAAATGAAGTGCTGGTACATGCTGCAATATCAAACATTATTCCTAAGCAAAAGAACTGAGTGACAAAAAAAAAAACCCTATGTCCTAAGGCATGATTTAATTATATGTGATTCAGTATCTCCAGAATAAGAAAATATGCAGAAACAGAAAATAAACTAGTGGCTTCCTATAGCTGTGGAAATTTGGAGACAATTCAGAGTGACTAGTAATGGATATGGAGTTTCCTTTAAGATTGATTAAAGTTTTTTTGTTTTGTTTTGGTGATGGTTGGACAATTCTGTGGATATATTAAAAACCACTCAGATATTTGAAATAGATGACTTTGGTGATATATGAAGTATAGTCAAATGACGCTACAAATATAAGAAAATGTTCATAGATGCAACTATCTTTAAGACTTTTCCAGTCAGAGAGATGGCTCGCCAGTTAAGGGCACTGGCTGCTCTTGTAGAGGATCCAGGTTCAATTCCCACCACCAACATGGCAGCTAACAACCGTCCATAACTCCAGGTCCAGGGGATCCAACACCCTCTTCTGACTTCCTCAGGCATTGCACTTACATACATGCAGGTAAAACACTCATGCACATAAAAATAATAAAATATTTTTTAATAATAATAAAAGCTGGGCACAGTGATGCACGCCTTTAATCCCAGCACTTGGGAGGCAGAGGCAGGAGGATCTCAGTGAGTTCAAGGCCAGCCTAGTCCACATAGTTCCAGGACAGCTGAAGCTACAGGGAGACCCCGTCTCAAAAAGACCAAAAATAATAATAATAATATTTGAAAAAAAAAGAAGTTTCTACATATACTATTAGGTGCTGCTATACTTTACCATCAATGATGTGATTAAAGAAACTCATGAAGTAAAAGACAGTGTCTATCATGTTTACTTCTATTTTTATCCATTTTGTTTCCTTCTGAAGTCCCAGCCTTCTTCTAGTAACAATGTCTCTGATTGGAGGGCTTCCTTGAGCCACTCTCTAAGGACAGCTACAGGGTCTGTTGATCTTCCTTTGTATTAGTTACTTTTATCATTGCTGTGACCAAAATACTTGACAGAAACAATTTAAGGGAGGAAAGATTAGTTGTGCTCACGGTTTCAGAGGGTACAGTCCATGGTCTCTTGGCCTCATGTGCTTGGGCAGATCATCGTGGTGACAGGACCATGTAGTATCAGAACATCTCACCTCATGGCAGACAGAAAACAGAAAGAGAGAAGGGGCCAGGGATCCCCCCTCCAAAGTAAATACCCCCAAAGTCCTGCCAATACTGACCTACTTCCTCCAGCCACAACAGTGCCATCAGCTGGGGATCAAGTCTTCTACACAAGAACCCTTCATATCCAAACTATGCCATCCTTCCTCAGAAAATGCCCTTTATTTTCCCCTCATTCCTGACATAGAGTTACCCCAAGAGTGATCACCCCTTTGAGAGCTACTTTAGCAGTTATATGTGCTTCCTCTCTGGTGACCCTCTTCCAAGCTTACACCCTCTCCTTTTGCCCAAGAGTCTAAATTTTCAAGCAAAGCCACACCTAAGTGATTAAGATATTAACTTGTAAATAATCTTTCTTTGGAGTTACACAATCCATATCTAAGTGCCTTCAAAACACAACACTATATTTACTGCCCCCTGTACTTTTTAGTTCTGTACATAATTAACATAAGGTATATAAAGTGCTACATGATTTAGCTTGAAGAAAACATGTATACCTAAAGAACTACAGGAACTAGGAAGGGACTGAGAAGGTAGCTCAGAGACAGATAGCTCAGAGGAAGGTAGCTCATTTGGCTTGCATATGAAAGGCCCTCAGGGATTAAATACAGGACACCAGGAGAAAAGAGGCAGGAGAGGGGGGAGAGGGGAAAAGAGCAGATAGGGAAAAGGGGAGGGGGGAGAATGAGAAAAGAGAAGGGGGAGGGAGAGGAAGAGAAAAAGATGGGAAAGGAAAAGGGGAAAAGAAAGAAGGGAGGAAGGGAAGGAGCAAGGGAGGGAGGAGAGAAGGAGGGAGAGAGGGAGGCAGGGAAGGAGGGGAAAGTGGGAAAGGTAAAGGAAGGAAGGAAGGAAGGAAGGAAGGAAGGAAGGAAGGAAGGAAAGAAGGAAGGAAGAAAGGAAGGAAAGAAAGAAAGAAAGAAAGAAAGAAAGAAAGAAAGAAAGAACGAAAGAAAGAAGGGAAGGAGGGAGGGAGGGAGGGAGGGAAAGAAGAGAAATCTAACTATAGGCACTAGCCCCAGGAGGTCAAGGTTGTGATTTATCAGCCAGAGAAGAAAAAAAGAGACAAGCTGTGCATGCAGACACCACTCAACAAGCAGCCTGGCCCTGCCTTCTTTCTCTCCCTGTTAAAGCACTTTTCTCCCAAGATGGAGCTTTGAGGGAGATAGCCCCTTCTACCTTCCAGGGTGCCAGCCCTTAAACTGCTTTCTCCTCAGTAACTTGTCTCTTAGTATGGGTTTTTAAATAAAGAACAACAGGCTTAGGCCCAGTAACCCAGTAACACCACTTTCCCAGACTCTTCTGTTCCTCTGCCCCCCTCCCTCGACATGTTGGTTCTACTCTCTCTACCCCTCAACATTCTCACAGACCACAGGACAAAGCAGAAGGGTAGTTCTGCAATTTTATTTGATTACACAGAGAGATCTGGTGTTTCCAGTCCAGCTGGTGGGGTCAGTCTCTGAGGGCAAGTAGGAGACATAAGAAGATGCCACAAGAAGGACCTCGACTAGAGTGCCCTGCACCAATAACCTGGGACTTATCTAAGATGTTGAGGACCTCAGTCACTCGGATGCTCCCAAGATGCTGAAAGTTTGCTAAAAGCTTGTGATGTTCACGAGCACAGCCCATGAGGAGGAAGGTGGTATTGAGATTCCCTATAAGGAAGAAAGGAAAAGAATCAGGGGCACTTTCCAAACTCAAGAATCCTGCTCTCTTCCCAGAGGCCCCTCACCAACCAGGACACCTGCTCTCCCACCAGAAATCTGGGCACCAAGCACCTTCCTTCTTCCTATTGGAATTCATGTCTCATCTCCTACATCCCCCAGCCCACCTCTTTGCCACCAGCCTTTCTCTGACGTACAAAGGCACTAGACACCATACAGTTTGATAAAAGTTCCTCTCCTCTCACCTGCCTGAAGTTTTATGGTGGAACTGTAACACGTAGAAGCAATGTAGGGGCAAGTGTCAGTGGTGACAAAATTTGGAAGACATTCCTTGTCATGCCTGCCCACACAGGTTGGACAATGACTGGAAGAAGATTGTGTGGACTTAGGAGCATTAGCCTTAAGTTTTACAAAAGGATCCAAGTTGGTTATATTGTTGCAAAGATAGGTCCTGCAGACACGACTATAGGAGGCAATAGACATTCCAGGTGGAGAAACCAGATAGGAGATTTGCGGAGGGTAAGATAAAGCAGAGCTGCAGCCTTTAAAACTCACAACACCCCTACTGGTCCCTGAGGAGGAGAGGAGTAGAGAGGTCTGATCAGTTTCATTGGTCTGGCTCATTCCATCTCCCCCCACCCCAGCGGGGTTTCTGTTTCTGCTCAGTCCCATGACCAGCTTTGCCTCTCCCCATGTCTACTCACAGCCCCTGCACAGAGCTCAGATGCTGGCATTTCCATCTGTGTCTCCCCAGCCTTATCCATGCAGAAGCCTCTCTGCTTCTCTCTCCTGTGTGTCTCATCCTTCCCCCTCTCCCACGCCTCCCCCTCCTACAGGTATCTGCCCACTTTCATTCTGCTCTTATCCATGCTACAGTACAAAGGACCCAGAATTCCTTGTTAAGAATCCCTAGTCCTCATTTTCAGTCTGGAGCCAGCTTTCATTCCCTAACCTTCCTGTAAGCAGTCATTCTAAAGTGGTTAATCTGTTTCTTTTAATCTTGTGTGTTCTCTGGAGATGTGTAGTGTTTCATGAACTTAAGTTCTTACTTTGTGCAAATGGTAATGTTATTATGTAAACCAATCATCACTGAGCTTTTATTATCAATCTGTGTACACCTGAACATCTAATCCTAGTCCTGGGTGTTGGGAGCACAGCTGGGGAGGAGGGCAAGCAGAATAAGCAAAAGGAGACATATCCAACCCAACCCACATCACCTGTCTCAATAAGCACTATTGTCTCCTCGCAGCCCTCTCTCATTTTACAAACCATGCTCCTCATCAGAAGCCACTTCCAGTTCTGTAAGGAAACAGCTCTGAAGAGTGAGGCTGTTGCTTCATAGCACAAAAGAGCTTCAGTCCCTAAAGAGAAAATGTTCTTCCAGTCATCTCCCCACCCCCTACCCGACCCCACATCACCTTCTCAAGGTCAAAATCCACAAATCCCATCCCAAGGGAACCAGATGCCCAGTCCACCTTCTACCAGCAACATAAAACCAGCCTCCCACCTTTTGGGGGCCTTATAGTACACATCCCCACAAGACATACGAGGCAGTGAGATGGCCCCAAGGAGGCAGAGCAGCTGCAGAGATCTCAAATGCTGGGGTCCCATGGTCCTGTGTCAGGGTCCTGGATGTGAGAGCTCAGTCAGGAACCAATTTCAGTTGGAGTCTCAAGTTTGGTTCTTGTCAGTCCCTGAATTCTCTGTCCACTTGCCTGTGGGTCACTGTTTAAGGCAGAAGGTTGACTGTGTCAGTTGCTGTGGTATGAACTCCCTGGAGACCTTCACTAACTCAGGTTTTCCCATCTCCGTGGTCTTCCTTCCTAACTAACTCAAACCCGGCATATCTGCATCTCAAAGCGTGGCTCTCACTCTCCAGCCCAGGTCCTCTACACGCTCTTCTCCAGCCATACAATGAGATCAGATGAGCAGAACTCCTGTGTAAGCCAAGCATGGTGGATGATGCCTGTAGTCCCAGCACACCAAAGGCTGAGAACTGCCCTGCCCTGAGTTCAAGACCAGCCAGGGCTAATAACAAGACTCTGTCTCAAAAAAAAAAAAAAACCTCAGCAGTTGGGAAGTAAAGGGAGGAAGATGGGGAGTTTAAGGTCATTCTCTACTACACAGTGAGTTTGAGGCCAGACTGAGCTACATGTGGCCCTGTCTTACACACAAAAAAAGAAAGCCCATGGGCTGGAGAGATGGCTCAGCAGTTAAGAGCACTGGATGTTCAATTCCCAGCATCTACATGACAGCTAACAACTGTCCATAACTCCAGTTCCAGGAAATCTGATGTCCTCTTCTGACCTCCACAGGCACTGAACAACACAAGTACACTTACATGCATGCAGGCAATACCCTCATACACATAAAAATATTTTTTAAAAAAGAAAGCCCATGTGAGAGTAGAAGTTAATTAACATATTCCTAAATGCCCTTTTGTTCACTGAGGAAATTAAAAATCATATCCAACTGAACAACAACAACCTCAACGCACATCACTCACAAAAAGGGATGCATATAAAATCTGCTGGACAGTGACTATGGTCTGAGGCCCAGGTACAGTACTGCACCAATGATCATTTCCTGTTAGTACACCATGGTGGTGGATGACTATAATCCCAAGACCTGGGAGGTGGAGACAAGAGGATGAAAAGTTCAAGGTCATCCTGGCCTACATAGCAAGTTCAAGACCAGCGTAGGGTACATTAGACCCTGTCTCCAAAAACTTGATAAATTTGAAAATCTAGATGAAATGAGCTACTCAAATAATACAGAATGCCAAAATCGGCACCAAAAAAATAGCTAATACTTTAAACCAACAGGAATACCAAAGGACCACCTGCAAATCAACAAGAAAGTGATGCCAAAAGAATGGGCTAAGCCATCCTCAGAAGAGCAAGGCACCTAGGTGAAGAAGCATTTGAGATGCTCAAATCTAACCTTAATCAGGGAAATGCAACCATACTGCAAAATGTACACTTGCTATACACCTCTCAGACTGACATCAGAAAACTGGAAAAAGCCAAGTGTTGGCACAAATGTGGTGATGAAGATACCCTTGGGCACTGCCATTTACGAAGTGACTGTGGGAAGGGTAGATAGGACCTCCTGAGAGTTCTGATCAATTTCTCAAGCCTAGTGTGGGAGAAGTCTGACAACAATCAAATTAGATTTCTAAATACACATTTCTGGTATATTGTCACTAAATATAAGGAACGTTTCCACCCTCAGATGTATGAGGAGATATCATTATTGTGATGGTGAGTTAAGGCAAGAAGACCACCCCTCCCTGAGGCCAAGGGAGTACACAGCTCAGAGGGAGGCTCACCATGTAATATCTCCCACTGCAGTTACAAGCAGTTGATTACATACACTCATGTGCCTATGGACTGACCATAAAAGCACAGTACTGCTCCAAATAATAAACAGCCACACAGACAAACTAAAAACTTGCTGTGCGTGCGGGTGCATCCCAGCACTCAGGAGGCAAAGGCAGGCAGATCTCTGTGAGATCAAGGCCAGCCTGATCTACATAGTAAGTTCCAGGCCAGCTGGGGCTACAGGGAGATCCTGTCTCTAAAAAAATCAACCAAACCAATCAAACCCCACTTTGTAAAACACTATACATCTCCAGAGAACACATAAAATCAAGAGCAACACATTCATCACCTTGAAATGACAATCTATGGGCAGGCTGGGAAACGAAGGTAAGGAATCTGGATTAATGAAAATAAAACAATGTGAGAAGGGCTACCAAGTTCATAGGCTTAGTAAGTACTCAAGGATCAAGCAAACTTGGCATCTTCAACCCTCCGCTTATTAACTGCCTGATCTTGTAGTTTCTGGAACTCAGCCTTCTTCCTCATTAAAAAGATATATTAATGATTTATAGCTAGATATATAGATAGGTAGATATAGATATACATATATATACACATATACATACATATACAGATAGAGAGATATATACAGATACATAGATATATGTATATATGAATATACATACATGTACAGGTATGTATATATATACATAAATAAACAGTAGATATAGATATATACATTATATATACATATAGTTACAGATATAAATGTATATATACATACATATAGATACATATGTATACATACATACATATATAGATATAGCTATATGTATACATATATGCATATATACATCATATACAGATATGTATATCTACATATACATATACAGACTATGCATATATACATACATATATGTATACAGATATATAGCTATAAATACATATATGCATATATACTGATATAGTAGATAGATGATATAGATAGATGATTGCTAGATAGTAGATAAGATTAGATTAGATGGGGGGGGAGAGGGAGAGAGATGGATGATAGATGATTATTCATTCATATGAAGCCCAGGCAAACGGCAAACTAGACGTTCCGCTCCTTCCGTCCTCCCTCCTCCCTACAGAAAGTTCAATGTCTCCAGCGGACACTCGAGCGCCCCCAAACCCTAGCCCGGCCCCAGACAACCTTTCCAGCTTTAGTACATTTCCTCTGCACAACAGTCCAGCTGGAAACCACTTCCGCCACGTTCTTTAGCCTGGAAGGTCACACACCCACAGGCTCTGTAACCCTGATATTCGTGTTTGGCTTGCGGGGAACAGGGCTAAAGCCCGCAGAAAAGAGACATGGAAACGGAGACAAAGGCCGCCCAGGCCCGCCGGGACCAGAGGGTGAGGCCGCGCAAGCGCAGATGGTATGAAATAATGCCCGCCAGTGAGACGGAGCCTGTCGTTCCTGTAGGGGAGGGGCGAAGCGCCAGCCTCGCTCTGGCTGTGGCAATTCGACGCCCCATTGGCTGCCTGCCCTAATCACGAAGAACAGGCAGGAAGGCTAAGGGGGCGGGGCCTAAGGTGTGTGAGACTCAACTCGACGCGCTATTGGCTAGCCTGACTGTGCCCCGGAGAAGCGAGCAGTCAGGAAAGGGGCGGGCCCCCGTGGAGGAGCTCAAACCGTATTGGTCACCTGTTACCTCAGGATAGGCTGTGCTTGAAGCTCATTGGTCCTCGTAGGAAGGAGCCCGGGGAGGGGGGAGGGGGGGGGAAGCAGCTCAGGCAGGCAGTTCCCCTTCGCCACTTTCTCGCTCCTTTCCTTGGGCCTCGTCCTGACTGTGATTCGGCTGGAGGCTGTGGTAACCACCGATTGGCAGTGCGGACATGACCCCTGCCTTCCTGACCCCTTCTGCCCCCCCCCCTTGAGCTGGGTCTCCTCCTAGTCGGGCTGCTCAGGTCGCCCTTCCCCCACCCACGCCCTTCCCCCACCCACGAGCCCGTGAGCACGTTCCTCATGCTCGGCCCCCTCCCTGGGACTCGGAGCGGAAGGGGTGACGGCTGCTGGAAGGGGGGGTACCTAGCATTAGGTGTTGGGCTGGGGTACAGAGGCATAGGCACCGTGTGCTTTGGTTGGGTTTGGTTTGGGGGTGGGGTGAGAGGTCCCCGGGAGTTGAGACAGGGTATAGCCCCACCTGGACTGGAACTTGCTATGTAGACCAGGCTAGCCTGGATCTCCGCCTGGCTCTGCCTCCCAAGTGCGGAGATTAAACGCATAAATGATCACAACAAGCCCTTGGGTTTTTTTGTTGTTTTTTGTGGGGGGGGGTATTGTTGCTTTGGTTTTGGAGGGCTTCTGGGGAGGGTTGGCCTTTTGGGTAGCCCCAGATGGCCTGGAAATTACTATGTAGACCAGGCTGGCCTCTGTCTCACAGAGATCTGCCAGCCTCTCAAAGGTCTGCACCACCCTGCCCTATTTGTTTTGGTTTTCGTTTTTTGGTTTTTTAAAGATTTATTTTTAATTGTACAAGTGTTTGGAAAGCCTGTGTGTATACTGGTATGTGTGTAGTGCCCAAAAAGGTTGGAAGAGGGTGGCAGAGCTCTCATGTGGGTGCTGGGAATCAAACTCAGGTCTTCTGGAAAAACAAGTGTTGCTAACCCCTGAGCAACCTTTCCAGCACCTTGTTTTGTTTTCTTAAGACAGGGTCTCATGTAGCCTAGGTTAGTCTTCAACTTCCTAGTGACAGAAAACCTTGAACTCCTGATCCTCCTCCCTTCACCCCCCAAATACTGGAATTTTAGGCCTGTGCCACTACCCAGTCCGTTTTTGGGGGTTTTTTTGTTTTGTTTTGTTTTGTTTTGTCTTTTTGAGACAGGGTCTCCCTGTAGCCCCAGCTGTCCTGAAACAATGTAGACCAGGCTGGCCTCGAACTCACAAAGATCCGCCTGCGTCTGCCTCCCAAGTGCTGGGATTAAAGGCGTGCGCCACCATGCCCGGACAGTTTTTGGTTTTTTTAAAGACAGTCACTTTATTGCCCAGGCTGGCCTGCAACTTACTATGTAGTCGAGGCTGTCCTAGAACTCACAGTAATTCTATCTCAGCCTCCCAAGTGCTAGAGTGTGAGCCATCATGGTCAGCTCAGTGAACATTTGTTGAACTAATACCCAAGGAAAAGTCCTAGTGAGCTGGTGGTACAGGCCAGTAAGGTAATCTCAGCTACCCAGGAGACTGAGAATGGAGGATAGCAAGCTCAAGGCCAGCCAGGGCTACTTAGGAGTCCATGTCTCAAAAGAATAAAAATAAATAAAAACTAGACCGGAGATGTGGCTCAGGGATAGAACACTTGCCTAGCATGCACAAGGCCCTAAGATCAATGCCTAGTATGGAAAATAAAACATCTCTAGTGAAAATGGAAATCTCTGAGAGTGTCATACAGACTATTTAAAAGGGGGGGGGGGCTGAAGAAATGGCTCAGTCCGCAAGGTGCCTTCCACACAAATGAGAGGACCTGAGTTGGGATCCCAGAATAAAGAGCTGGGTAGTGTCATGTCTATAGCCCTCCCAGTAGGGGTGAAGAGCCAAAACAGGTGGATCTCTGAAGCTCACTGGCCAGCCAGTCTAACAAGTCATGAGTTTCAGGTGCAGTGTGAAGATCCTGTCTGAAAAAACCAAAGTAGAGAGCAACGGAGGAAAGACACCTGATGTCACACACACACACACACCGCTGCACACAAAGGTGCACAACACACAAGTCCATACACCACATGCACACAGACAACAAACAAAAGGCAGACAGAATTGGATGGCATATGTGGGACTCAGAATTTGAGGGGGGCATAAAAATGTTTTTAGAGATCAAATAAATGCAAGGGGATACAATGAGAGTTGTCAAATAGGATGCCTGGAAAAACTGTTTGATGTAAGCGTGCTTGAGGGGCCTGGAAGGTATACATACACCTGAAGCTGGGATTTGTCATGGGAAAGTGTGCAGGTGAGCAAAGAGGATGTCTGCACTGAACAAACACCTAAGAAAGAAACGAAGGCCTGGGAGAAAGATCATGTGACAGAGAGGAGAAGCCAAGGTGGAAGCTGGGTACAGAGGGTGTCAAGATGGAGGAGCAGAGATATGGCTTCCCAAAGGCAGAGGGTTGGTTAAGGCAGGGTCCATGTAGCTGTCCTGACCTACCACTTCTGCCCCTAGGTCCATGGACCCCAATGAAATGTCTGCTCCCCAACACTGCCCTGCTGACTCTGCCCCAGGGGATGAGACCAGAGCCCCCCAGAGCACAGAGCTTATCCCCAGGAGACCTGTCAGTCGCTCTCCAACCTGTGCCCGCTGTCGTAATCATGGTGTCACAGCCCATCTCAAGGGCCACAAGCGCCTCTGCCTCTTTCAGGCTTGTGAGTGCCACAAGTGTGTCCTCATCTTGTGAGTATAAAGGTCAGAGAGAGGGGGAGGATGGGTCTCCAAAAGGTGGCTGACTTTTGACTTGCAGCCCCCATCTTTTAGGGAACGTCGAAGAGTCATGGCTGCCCAGGTGGCCTTGCGCAGGCAGCAGGAGGCACAGCTGAAGAGGCACCTGGCTCAGGGACTGATGAAACGGGCAACCCCTCTGGAAACTCCCATCCGTGTCAAGAAGGGAGTCCTTCGGCCAGGGGTCCCTTGTGAGTGTCTCTGACTGGGGATGGGACAGGGATTTGGGTGTCGAAAGTATAAGTAAGGACAAGCATTCCTGTCTGGCCACTGAATCAGTGTATGGCCTTGGGCAAGGTGTTTGTACTTTCTGGACCTCACCCTTTCCAACTATAAAATGTGGCCAAGGGTTCAGTGAGAGCTGCTGGTAGAAAATGGTTAGTAGAGCCAGGGAGATGGATCGGGATAAAGGTGCATGCTCTACAGGCCTGGTGACCTGAGTTTGATCCCTGGAGCACATAGAAAGGTGGAAGGAGAGAGCCAACTTCCCCAAAGTTGTCCTATGACCTCTACATATGTGCCTTGGCGAGCACATGCACACACACACACATACACCTCTCTCTCTCTCTCTCTCACACACACACACACACATACACACATGAACACAAAGTAATTATTTTAAAGAAAGAAAATAGAGGAGCAGGGCATGTTGGACTGACTGTAATCCCAACACTGGGGAAGAGAAAGGAGGAGGCTGGAGACCAACATGGGCTAGCAGGAAGGAGGACTGGTGGAGGAGAAAGCTGCAGCTGGACACAGAGGCACATTGGCACATACCTGTAATCCCAACACTTGGGAGTTCTGGAGGCAGGAGGATCAGAAGTTCAAAGCCAACCTAAGCTAGGAGAGAGAGAGACAGAGAGAGAGAGATCGAGAGAGAGAGAGAACTGGAGTTGGGGTAGGATGAATCAGGAGAAAAGGCTCACTGGATCTCTCTCTGGTTCCTCACAGCTGGGAAGGAGAATATAGCGCCCCTGACTCAGAGTCCCCAGGGAGCAGTCCCACTAGTGCTCATACCCCCTGGGAAGGTAAGACGATCCTGGCCCTGAAGGACTGGTTCCTACCCTAGCTCCTGCCCAGATCATTTCTCTGTGCTTTCTGCACCTGGGTGGTCGCTGCATCCCAACCCTGACTTGCTATATAATCTTCAGTAAGTCCCTTCTTTTCTGTGGGTAAAAGAAGATGGGACTGTAAGGCCCACCCATTTTTCAGGTCTGACCCTCATCCAGGAACATGTTTTCTTCTCCAGGATTACCTCTATCCCGTGTCCTTTCCCCTCACAGGAAAACTACGGGCCTCTGCTGCCCAGCCGTCCCCCAGAAGCCTTGCCTTTGCCCTGGACTCCAGTGCCTCCTGGTCCTTGGGGCCCTGGACACTGGCCACCCCCAGTGGTATGCCGCTTGATATGCCAAGAACCTGCTGTCCCTCTCCATCCTTTCCCTGGTAAGATGATAACTCACCTTTCATTCAGGAGATATTTCAATGCTTGGTTGCCACTGTACCACAAAAGGAGGTAGAAAGGGAACACAGGTGGGTAGAGGGAAGCCAGTCACGGACTCTCAGCTCCATACATTCTGCATTCTCCTGCCCTTCTTAGGATTTGATCCTGGCTCCTCCCTTCGGCTGCCCACACATGGAACCCTCCCAGCCTGCCCAGGATCTCACTCAGTACTGACAACTCCACTTTCTAGAGAGCCCCAAGGACCCCTAAACCTACCTCATACGTAAGTAGGAACACGAGAATATGTATTCATTCTCAGCCTAACTGTGCTGCACACCACAGTGGGTGATAAAGAAGAAAAAGTTTCAGACCAAGTGTGGTAGTACACACTTGTAATCCTAGCACTTGGGAGAGAGAGTGAGGAGGATCAGGAGTTCAAGGTGGTCCTCAACTACATAGTTTAAGGCCAGCCTGGGCTACAAGAGACCCTGTCTCAAAAAAAAAGAAAGAAAAGAAAAAAGAAGGAAAAGAAAAAGGTCTCAGACTAATAGGTAAGCAAAGCTGCTGCAGCTCTGCTATTTCCTGTGAGCCTTTAGACAAGTGCTGGCACCTCTCTAAGCCTATTTAATATCAGTAATTGGGGGATGCTAGTACTCTCAGATTATCATCGTAATTAGCAATATACCTAATATACCTGACCTTGAGCAAACAGTGGCTACTCAATCTTCTTAAACAGATAAGAGAGAATAGGGTTGTCTGCTGAAATGGAGGGCCCACGATAGTAAGGCACAGGTATAACGCCAGAGACCGTAAGAGAAAACTTCTTGAAGATGAGCCAAGCTAGCCTTCAGATGACAGGAAATGAGGAGCTGAGTGAGAGAAAGCAGACTCTGGTAGAACAGAGCCAGCAATCCCAATCCCTCTAGGTATTCTGTCTGCTTTCAAAAAACTGGCACCAATGATTCCCTGTAATCCTCACAGTAGCCTAGCCTACGAGAGGGATACTTGCAGAGATTTTCATTCTACAGAAAGCAGAGTAGCCAAGTTAGGGAACAAGACTTACCGAAGTCCACAAAGTCCAGTAACCCAAGCAGGTTCTGATTCCCAGATCAGAATGTCTGACCACTTTCCATGTTTCATGTCTTTGTATGTTTAATCCCTTTGGTGTGTCTCCTCTTTTTCAGATGTTCAACTCTGATACTGCAGTCTTGTGGTACCCCAGACACTCTTCTACTACAGCCACAGGTCTTGGGAAAGAAGTGGCATCCAGGAGCAGGGAGGAGGTTGAACTTGAAGAAGGGAAAAGCAGGGGACTGAAGGAACCAGACAGAGGAAGCATGTGCAGGGTAGACAGAAGTAGGGGGGTTCCCAGTCTGCTTCTCTCCCCTTTCCTTTGCAGGCCCCTGGAGGCTCTTGCCTGGCCTGGACATCTACTCCCTCTGAGAGGCAGCTGCAGCGAGAGGCAGCTGAGGCCCTTATGGGCCTGAAAGATTCATCCCAGGCTCCCCGCCTGACCCCATCTGTCCCCGCAAACCCTGCCTGGATCTCTCTACTCCACTCCTGTGGCCCGCAAGGTAATGTGCCCCCTGAAAGAGAGGATGCAATAAGGGTGGTTGGGAAACGGAGATCACCAGAATAAGCAAGGACACACTAAGATGACGGGAGAATTCCAAGTTCAGTGTCCTCAAGTCCAGGCCCCCAAGCTTCTCAGCCTCATCTCTGAGACTACAGTTCAATGTTTCAGCGAGCTAATCTTTACCAGTTTTAATCTGAACAAGAAAAATGAAGTCCTGAAGAGGTAGAGACTTGCCAGGGACTGGCAGATGGCAAGACAATGCAGAGCCTGGTCTCCTGATGCCAAACCCTAGCTTCCTGCTGAAGTCTGGAGAGGGAATAAAGTAACTCAGGTCTGGACTGGGAGGAGTGACAGCTGCCTTCCAGGAGCTTTTTCTAGTTGGGAAACCTGGATAGCTTCAGAAGGCTCAGTGGCAAGACAAGAGGAACTTGGAGGAATGAGAAATATTCAAGGGAACAGAGAGGAAGGCTGAGTTCTGTTCAGTGGTGGATTGCTCCAGAGGCACAGGGAGAGATGAGGCTGGGGAACCTTCTGATTGTAGAGATCTGGCACGGTGGGCTTGGGACTCTGAAACAGCAACTATGCACAAAGGGGAACTGGGGGATTTTCTGAACTAGACGGAGCATGGTAGCTTTGGGGAGGGACTGGAGAAAGCAAGACTGGAAGTGGGAAAATTAGCAGGCAGGAGTAAGCCAGGAGAACAAGGGTGAGGTCTGGATCAGTAGGATAAACAGGGAGTCAGAGGGACAATGAATTTGACTGGTCCTGCCGCTTCCTTCTTGGGTACAGCTCCACCTGGAGGAAGAGGATTCCAGCCTGTTGGCCCCCCTCTTCGACCCAGTCCAGCTTCCTCAGTCTCTCTGCATATTGGGCGTCTGGGATCCGTCTCCCTTCTAAGTTAGAACTCAGAGACAGAGACAAAGAGGTGACAGACTACAAGCACTGCATATTTGGTATCTTACTTACAAATTTTTGCATGGAATTTAATGTAGTATAAGCTTCAGGTCTTTCTTTTTTTAAAGCTTTCAGGTCCCTCACTAATTTTCAGTTCCTTCTGTGATATAGGTATGTCCTTGACTGAAAGTGGATAGTCTCATAGCCCTTTTTAAATCATAGGGCCTTCTTAAGTCCCCCAAAAAAGATGGCTCTGTAGTTTAAGGTGACCACTATCTAAATACATTTTTGCATGAGTTTATGTTCTGTATATGCCTATATGTATATGCGTATGTGCTCTGTGCACATGAAAACAATATTTTCTTGTATGTAGGTTTCTATAAGCAAGAAATAAACCTTTGTCATTTAAGCCACTGAGATTTAGAGTTCATTATCACAGCCTAGCCTAGTCTACCCTGACTGACAAAGGGACCATTCAACTCACTTCTCAAAATGTAAATCTTCTACTCAAGAACTACCACAAACCAGGCATGATGGCTCATACCTGTAGTCCCAGCACTCAGGTGGCTGAGGGAAGATTCCTTGTGAGACTCTGCCTCAAACAACAACAAAGAAAAAAACACAATCAATAAATATGAACTTGGGTTTCTTATTGTGGCCGTATAAGAGTAACAGAGGGAGATAGCAGAGGGAGTAACCGGTGCAATGATTAATTGCCTGCTCTGTGCCAGACATAGCCAGTTTTCTGCTATCCAGAGAGTCACAACTGAAATACCTACAAGGGGCAAGCAGATCCTATAAAGATGTGAAGGACAGGTAGGGGCTGGAAAACAGAACACATTTCATACCAACTGGCATCCTCCATCAGCCCTAGTGGATTATTCCAGGCAGAAACACGGACTCAGTATTGCTATGTCTGATTTTTCAAGAGAAATTAGGAAACTGAGTTTCTGTGTTCAACACAATAATTTTCAAGTGTTGGCACAGTTTGCTCCTTTAAATGTTATGTGGGCCAAATAAAACATCTTCAGGCCAACTTTGGCCAACAGAATTCTAATTTAATAGCAATCTAACATGACATTTTTGGGTGGGGAAACTGAAGTCAATCAGGACACAAAGAACCAAGTTAGTCTTTATCAGGAGTTTGTCACTGTCTTCTTTAAAAGATTTTATTTTTAATTGTGTATATATGTGTATGTCTGTATGTGGGTATATGAATGTGAGTGCAAGAGTCCATGGAGGCTAGAGGCACTGGACCCCAGGAGCTAGAGTCACAGGCTATTATGAACTGCCTGCATGATGTGGTTTCTGGGAATTGAACTTGGGCCCTCTGGAAAAGCAACAAATGCTCTTAATCACTGACTCATCTCTCCAGCCCAAGACAAGTTCATTGTCTTTTTCCAAAAATCCATTAAAAAGGCTGAGGCTACAGTTCAGTGGTAGAGTGCTTGCCTAGCATGCTGAGGCTCTTGGGTTCAATCTCCTGTATTACACACACATGAAAAAAAGTTGTTGGAGGGGTGAGTGTGTTTAAGTGTTTATGAAAGAATCCATGAAAGATTAGAGATTATTACCGCCATTTATTATTCGTAGACCCACACAACCCTGTAACTGTGCCTAAAGAGGCAAAGAGACTACCCCAAAAGTTTAGGGAACTCTTCTACAAAACAATTAGAAAGATTCCTTCTCATTTCCAGGTCTCAACATTTTATAAACCACAGAATGAAAGATTTGAGACTCCAGGGACATACATTAGTCAGAAGTATTGTCTACAAAATCCTCCCCTTTTCTGCTAAGGCTGTCGTTATGTAATGTTTTTGGTTGTTGGGCTTGTTTGGTTTGTTGGTTGGTTCATTGGTTTTGAGACAGGTTCTAACTTGCCCAGGCTAGCTTCAAACTCATTTTGTAGCCCAGGCTAGCCTCCAACTTATGGTAAGCTTCCTGTCTCAATTTATGGGGTACTAGGATTACAGGTTCTTGTGACCCATCATGCCCCGCTAATAGAACTTGCTCACATTTGTTTCATAAGCCAGTGCTGTTGAGTCCTCAACAGCATTTTAAGCCACTCCAGACATGAATTCCAAAGCTAGGAAGGCCTGCAGAGACTATCAACTCCCACCCTCAGAGGGGGCAGACACAGAGCATAGGAACATACTTGATAACTGATTGCCGTTCCTGCTGTTACCTGCCTCCCTTTTCTTAGTCAAGACAATTAATGGTGGTGGCATTCTCCTATTTGAGGCCTTGAGAGGGTGGGCTATTCCTACTCCACAACAGATTGCAGAATAGCAAACCTGCAACACTACTCAAGAGGCTCTGTAAGAGATCAGAAGACTAATGTCAGCTCACACCTCCTGTCCCTCCCCAGTTATAACTTAGATATATGATTGCCCTTTAATAGACCTGCCCAAGCCTTGCAGCCTTGCTCTTCCAGTGACAGATAGCCAAGACTGCACAGTCAAGAGCAGGGAAGCATTGCAGCAGCAACAGAGCTAAGACTCTGCTACTCGGGGCTGAGCAAGGGTCCCCAGTATACCTAGGTCATACAGCCAGGAAGGATAAAAGGATAGAGGAAGACACTGCAAAGGGGAGGAACAAGAAATAAAGTGATGGGGTCAGCAAGATGGCTCAGCAGGTAAAGCACCTGCTGCAAAGTCTGACAACCTAAGTATGATCCCCAGAGCCCACATACAGGTAGAAGGAGAGAACAACCCCACAGTGTTGTCCTCTGACCGCCACCCTCTGTGACACACATATACCCACATACATATACACACAAAAATACAAAAATAAATACATGTAAAAGAGGCTGGGGCTGGAGAGATGGCTCAGTGGTTAAGAACACTGGTTGTTCTTGCAGAAGACCCGGGTTTGAATCCCAGTACCCACCTGGTGGCTAACAACATTCCATAACTCTAGTTCCAGGGGATCTGACACCCCATTCTGACCTCCCTGGGCATTGCATGACACGGGTGCACTTACACACATACAAGCAATACACTCATATGCATAAAATAAAAATGAATAAATAAAATTAAAAAAAGAAAACAGGCTGTTATGTAACTCAGCAGTTAGCTGGAGATGTCTATCTTTGAAATGAATAGTGATATGCAGGGTGAGGGAGTAAAGAGTAGGCCTTGCTTGTCTGGAATCCACCTCTTCTTGAATGTCAGACCTAGCAAGGCTTTTCACATCATTAGCTAGCCAATTTATCTTTCAAATCATTTGGACCCCAAAACAGTGCCTGAGGGAGTGAGGCAGACCTACAGAGGTCAGCTTTGGGAACAGGACAGACTTAAGAATTGTCCATGGTCGGGTGTGGTGGCACATGCCTTTAGTCCCAGTACTCAGGAGGTAGAGGCAGGGGGATCTCTGAATTCAAGGCCAGCCTGGTCTACATAGAAAAAAAAAATCGTCCAGAGTCGAGTGTGTAATCTAGCACCTGGGAAGTGGAGGCAGGAGTATCAGGCATTAGTTAGTGTGAGCTACACAAGACCCTGTCTCAATACACACACACACTTGCTCATGCTTCCACATTTCCACCTCTCTGAGTAGAGCACTCTTCACCTGCTATTAGAGAGCCAGTGGGCTCCTGGCCCCTGACTAGCCTTCTGAAATTTCAGCCAATGGACTGTGAGTTTTGGTCTCTATACCACTCTCTCTTCCCATCTGCCATTGCAGAGTAGAGAAATGCTGCCTGATCTAATGGAGTAGTGAATAAATCTCCCTTCTAAGCTTTTGTCTTGTACCCTCTTGATACTCTGCAGAAATGATCAGTAAGGTTCCAACTATGAAGTACCATCCTTGTTCCTCTCCCTCCTCACAAACAGTTGCCCACAGCCACCCAGGTTTTATTTCCTGAAAGCATTTCATACTCTGTCCTTTGAAAATCCACTCTGTTCACTTCAGCCCTAAGGGAACTTGGCCCATTCCTGCCAGCACTTGTAGCCAGGGCCAAAATAACATGACACCACCTATCTCCACCCAGGCCACACACATGTCCTCAGTCCTGGTTCACTTGGGCTCATTATTTACCCCATTTCTTTGTTAGCTAGCTTTGCAACCCCATACTCATGCTCAATAGCCAACAATCATCTCCTGCATAGACCCTCATGAGATCTGGAGCTCTTCCCAAAAGCAAGATTCATCCTGTTATCTGATTCAATGTGTTAAGCTTCTCAGGCAGAGCTTTACCTCACTTGGAATCACAGACTTGATCACTTTAAGCTGTACCAGTGTCAATCTGTGTCTCCACCCCCCAGAACAGCTATTCTCAGAAGACAGGCCTATTGTGAATTTTCTCTCTGGAAGTTCAGAGTAACTGACTGAGGTTCTGTCCAATTCCTTAGGAATTGTTTACCCTAATATAGTGCACTCAGCTGCCATCCCATCATAATATCGACAACTTCCTGCCCTGTTTAGTTTTAGGGCAGTTTAGGTTTGCAGAAAGTAGTGATTACAATCACCAGAGTGAAAAAACAGTCTATGGAACTACACATCAAACGGGATTCATATCTAAGATATATATATATATATATATATATATACAAAACTGCAAAATTTAAACACCTAAAAACCAAATCAATCAATAAATGGGCTAATGAACTAAATAAAACTCAGAAGAAAAAACACAGGACCAGCAAGATGTCTCAGTGGGTAAATGCACTGCTGCCAAGCCTGATGACCTGAATTCAGTCTCCAAAACCCACATTGGGGAAGGAGAGAACCACTTCTACAAGTTGTCCTCTGATCCCTACATCCATGCTGTGGCACCCACACCAACACACACGCACGCACACACACACACACACACACACACACACACACACACACAAATAAATAAAAACCCAAGAAAGTTTCTAATTTTAAATTTTTCAGAAGAACTACAAATGGCCAGTAAATACTTGAAAAGGTGTTCAATATCCTTAGCTATCAAAGAAATAGCCTCAAAACTATATTGAGGCTGGACATGATGCCACATGCCTTTGATCCCAGCACTTGAGAGGCA